ATTGTCCCCTCTTGTATCTTTCCCCCCCAGGAAGAAACAAGAAGTAGCCAATACTGCAGCAGGTATAAAAGATCTTGGGGAACTCCAGGGAGTATCAGCTGATCACAGAAGTGTTACTTAATACTTTTTATAATGAAAATATTTGTAATCTTGTCCTTCTTCCTGAAGGGAAGAGGTTAATCCCACCCCTAGATGGCTGATTGATGGGTTTCCCTGCCCTAATCCTGTCAGTTTCTGTTGTTTATTAACTTGATTTAAGCAATTAACTGGGCAAACTGGTGACAATTGGCTGAATCCCATCTGTGGTCAGAGTGCCTGACACCGGCCCCCATTCCTCAAGCCCAGACTCAGTGAGTTCTAAAATAAAGAAAACTCACCAAAAAGAAAACTCGCACGGCAAGCTGTTGAGGTTCCTCTCCAGCTCCGGAACCCTCTCTAGGCACCACCAATGAGAGCAGCGAGGCCACCAAAGAGGATCCAATGGTAAGTGAGGCCATCCATTCCTTTGCCATAAAGTCCCGAATACTGGCTTCTTGGTTTGGACCCTCAGATCATCAGCCCACTTTCATAAAAACCATTTACTTTGAATCACAGGTAAGCCAGTTGGTCCTCTCATGGACAAAAGGTAGTTAGATAATGTGTACTTTTTAGATAAAGAGCGTGGGACCTGTCCCAAAATCCAGCTGCAAGATAAGGGTCACAACTGGGCTTGCATACGGCACAGGTCCGTGTCTTACCCGGCATATTTCACTGGCAAAACAATCCAAAGGGCATCCTGTGGCTGGAACCTGGTGGAATATGGCCTCCCCTGATCACTCTCTCGTATTGTATTGAAGGAGGGTCTCTCCCTCAGTCGGGGTCATTCCCGAGGAAGTGTGATTCTTAAAGTAAGATTTAGTTTACTGTATTATTATGTGGTCCCAGTTTGGCAGTAGTACTTGCTTCCGCCATTAACAACACCCTACAGGAAGATAAGTTTTGTTAAAAAAAGGAGTTTTCAACCAACTGGTTAGGCTGGTATTTCATAACTATGTTGTTTTTATGCTGTTATTTTTTGTGATTAAGTTGTATGTATTACAATTTGCAATCTCGTTGTCGTAGTTGTCATCCTGTGATGAGATTTCTGAACATATGCCTCTTGATTATTTTGCTACTGCTTCCACTTTTCTCCCGATGGTTATGCCTCAATGTCACCGGAGCATGCCTCTGTCCTTTTTGCCTTCTTCTCATTATCTATTGTCTCTCTACTGACTCTTTATTTCAAATTGTTTATTCTCAATTTGTTATACTGGTTTATTTTTCTCTTCCTTATTGTTATTTAGAATTCTTTGTGATACTTAAGTCAGGGGTAGGGAAACTTGGCTCTTTTATCACTTATGGGTTTCAACTCCCAGAATTCCTGAGTGAGCCATAAAAGGTTCCCCATCCCCGGCCCACTGGTTTTTCAGTTGTGGGGGAAGTCAATTTTTGACTTGAATGGGACTGTTTAATATACAAATGTAGGACATATTCTTTATATGGCCAACCAGTTCCTCAGGGAAAACCCCCAGCTCTCTCTGGAATGCCACTGGGTCCATCAATCCTCCGGGGTAAACCAATCAAACAGGTCCTGTCTCTTTGCAGGGTGGGGTAAGAGTTGAAAGGCAGTAACAGAAGTATATTCTGCCTTGATTAGATTTCTACTGAAGTGTTTGGTCAAATCCTGGGAAATATAGTTTAAAAAGACATTAACCCATTTGAAAATGTCAGAGGAGGCTTTCAAAATAAAACCCATGACTTAATATGATATAAAAATAGAAATTATTTTTTAAAATGAGAATCTTTTCACCAAAATAATTGGTTATTTTTTGTACTAACAGAACAATTGATGTCTAAGTGTATGATTTCTATGTTAATGCTTATGTATGCAGAAATTCCAAAATTGTATTTGGCACTGTATACATGTTTTCACCAAGCCAGCTAAATAAACTTTGGAAGTTAAGTGCTCTGAGATTAAATTAATCCAATATTTCTGTCCACCAGTGATTTAGTATCTACCTGTTTTTAGAGCCTCTGTGGCCTCACAGCCCATGGAAAATCATACTGACCTAATGGGGAGCAAACTCTCACTCCCCAGTTATAAAAATATGTTTTTCCCAAACTGACTGCTGGAAAGCACTTTCAGAAGGAACAGTTATGGGGTATCTGCTCAAAGTGACCTAATGTTTATTTGATAAATATATTGATATCTGTACATTACCAAAACTTGTTTCTGTAGCCTTTAATTAGGCAATACAGTTCAACCTGGGCTACTTGCAATGCAGATACATCTCTGAATATGTCCCAGAATTTTAAGAACTTTTCACAATTCCACAACTATAAACATGAATCAATTGTAAGAAATTTCGCCACTTTTTGGGGGATGTTATGGTTGCAGTCCAATAATAAACGAATAACATCATCCTCAGAACAAATGAAACTTTTTAGCAATTGACTTATAAAGTTAGATTGTGACTCGCTGTAGAAAGGACAGTATAAGAACAGGTAGGCTAGAGCTGGGTTTTCTAACCTTTTGAAAACCCAGCTTTAGATATTAGATATTTTAAAAAGAATCCAGAAATTCCTTATCAAAAGACAAAGTTCTAAGTGACAGGCTGCAGTCAGGTGCATTCAAGTGATTTTTGGGGGGTGGAGGGTGCCTTTGTCTTTCATGGAAGCTAAAGTTCTCAGGAAACTCTGTGATTCTGCAGAATAGTTTGAAAAGCTCCGGGCTGGAGTCTTGGGCCCCTCCAGAGGGGCAGTGGGCAAGACAGTAAAGTGGGCCGAAGACAGAGAGCTCTACAATGGTTTGGATAGGGATAGGACATTTACTGGTATGAAAAGTTCCCTGTTGATATTCCACCACTAAAGTTGTCCTGATTTACTATAGCTCTTAATAGCCAAACACCAACAGAAACTTCTCTCTCCATCAATTGACTAGAAAGGGGTATATATTCTGATTTTTGTAAATACGAATGTTAGCAGTAATTTTATGGTGAAGTACTTCAAAGTGGGAAAAACCAAAAGAAGCAAAAAATGATTGTTTCTTCTATTTTAACAAGTACATAAACACAATCCAGTTTAATGAGATTTTTAATCATTTTTCCTTTCAAAACTGTTTTATGAATAAAAATGCTAGAAGTGAAAGACACTTTATTTTTTTTCAGGATAACCCGATGAATACATGATTGAAAATAGCTGGTCCTAAAAGATAGCCAATATTAAAAACCACAAGGATTAAAATGAGAATCTAAAATGTTATTTAAGTTGAATCTGGAAGATGAATATGTTAAAAGTTTTTATGATAAAAAAAGCAAAAACATTTGGTTACAACATAATGCTAGACCAGTAGGAGAATGTATGGACCAGTGGTTTAACATTTACTTTGAATTACATTTAAAAGAAAACTTTATAAAATTACTAGCTCGATAGTCGATACCCATGCTTTGCTACAAAACTATGTGGTCAGGCTTGGTTTTTGGGGAAGAAAATAAGGAAAAACAAATTCTGCCTCTGCCTACCAGCATCCATTGGTATTCATCTGGCTAGCATCCTGTCAGCATGTGAGAGAGTTGAGGGCTGTTTGGAAACTGAAATAATATTTGCTGTGTGAGCAAGAAGGAGACAGCAAGGAGCCTGGGCGTGGCTTAGCTCAACTGTTCTGAACTAAGGCTGGTTGTTGCTGTGAAACTAAAACTGAAATTGAAACTCCTCTCCTCTGCTTGTGTTTTGCATTTGGAACAGATTTCTTTTCAGATGGGGAGGGTAGTAGAACTCCTTAACATCAGAGCGTGTTAATAATAATATATGAAATACTAATGCTCTGGCGGTCATTTCGAAAAATCCTTTCTTAATGAGGACCTAGAAGCCAAGAGGAACAAATTTCAAGTTTATAGACTTTACGGTTCTGGAGATTTTGTGGTGATGTGTGAATGGTATTTTGCTTTTATATATTTACCGCTGATATTTGACTCCACAAAAATGCAACCAAAATCCAGGGACATTTTATCATATGTAGTGATCTTGTAAGTATACTAAATTATATTGGATAAATATAATAATGACAATGCAGAAATGCTTAAAACATAAATATTAATGAAACCTGAAGCCTTTCTTCTAGATATCATGGACAAACCAATCGAAAAACAGTTTGGGACATTATTTCTTTACATGTTGGCCACTGTGAGGCTTGTTTATGCTAAGCATTGGAAGGAAAGGGGGTTTACTGTCAAAGAGAGGATTTTAAAATTGATTAAATTAGCAGAGATGGCAAAATAAACTGCTTTGATTAGAGACAGTAGATTAGACAAGTTTATATGCTGAGCTTATCAATCAGAAAGGTTGGCAGTTCAGCTGTTCTAATCCCTAGCACCATGTAATGGAGTGAGCTCCCGTTATTTGTCTCAGCTTCGGCCAACCTAGCAATTCGAAAGGATGTAAAAATGGAAGTAGAAAAATAGGGACCACTATGGTGGAAAGATAACAGTGTTCCAAGTGCCTTTGGCATTTAGTCATGCTGGCCACATGACCACGGAGATCGCGCTGGCTCTTTGGCTTTGTAACAGAGATAAGCACCGCCCCCCAGAGCCAGAAACGACTAGCACGTATGTGCAAGGGGAGCCTTTACCTCTATATCTTGTGAACAGATGTTGGTTCGACTTGATATTAGGCAAATTGATTTCCATATCAGGGAAAATTGCTTACGGAATATAGCATTGTTGTTAAATATAGATGGGAAAGTTTATAACTATTTGTAGGCCTATGTCAGGGGAGGAGAACATATTAGTTTTTTAATGCATCTTTCAGCATTCAGTCAGGGTGGATTTAAAAAAAAAGTTTGATGTTAGGTGTATTTAATATTGGGTTTTTTTCTTTCTTTTTTTGTACACATGGTTTTTGTTTTTGTTGGTGTCAGATGTTTGTTAGTTTGTTTTTTCTTTCTTTTTCTTTGGTTTGTATTTTATATTTGGAGATAAAGAATAAATAAATAAGTTAAAGGAAGGATTAAAGTAAGAATCTCTCTCCTGGTCCTAATAAGAAAAAGGACAAAATGGATATATTCAAAGAGATAAAGCCAATTATTTTTACTGCATTCCTTTATTTCACAATCTCTTCTCATCCTATTTAATTTACATGTTGCATTCACCCTTCAAACTTTCTAACAATATATTTAATATATCTCTACACACAATCACTTTACTGAAATATAATTAAGAAGAATATATATATTTTCAAAGTGTGTGACCCCACTATTTGAATCTTGGCTATTCAAAGAAGCTGCCTGGGTAGTAGGATTTTTAAACTTCTAAATGCACTACAGTCATGTTCCTGTTAAAGCAACAATCCCGGCAACTCCATTACTGGGCGAAGGCAGCGAAAGGAGCACTGTACAAAAAAAGAAAATGCTCACTGAATTGTACACATTGAGCTCCGGGGAGAATTAACAGTTCTTGTTGCAGGCTCCTGGCTATAGTTTACAATATCCGCCTTCACTACATTCTGTCAAAAGAGAAGAAAAGAAAAACAGAAGAGGTTACAGCAAGTGAATCCAAAGGGGGGGGAAAAACTGTTTCAAAGTGCTAATAAAACATTTCACAATAATGATCATGCCATGAAATTTAGGACATTGAAACAAGTCAGACATGCTGCAGTACTTTTCTCTCAGTAAACATGCATAAGGACTTTAACAAAAGACAAAATAAGAGCATCTTGAATGCTTTTATACATAAGCAATAGTGAGAGTATACTAATTCTTAAGTCTTGGCTTCTTTATTCCAATTAAGAGGTTCTAGCCCATAAAATTTGTCAGTTTCTCAAGCATTTTTTTCTTTACACTATTCATGAGTACTAATATACACTAATCAAATAGGTAGTAAGGAAGCAGGGGAACACAGACACAAAACAGGTTAGGTAAAGACGGGATCAGTCAAAAAGAAGTCAAATGTTTATACACCAATGCACAAAGTATGAGGAATAAACAGGGTGAACTAGAGTTTCAAGTACACAAGGGCAGATATGACATCGTTGCTACTATGGAAACTTGGTGGGATGAAATCCATGAATGGAATATACAGCTAGAGGGATTTTAAATTATTTAAAAGAAATAGAGCTAATAAAAGAGGAGGTGGAATTGCACCATATATAAGAAATAATTACATATCTACAGAAATACGACAGAACAATGATGAAAACTATTTGGGTCAATATAAAAGGGGGGGAAATTACATTGCCATAAGTGTATACTACAGGCCGCCCAACCAACCAGAGAAAATAGATGGATTCTTTGCTAATCAGTTAACTATGTATGTAAGAAGTACATCGCAATAGTAATGGGGGACTTTAACTAGCCTGATAACAACTGGGAGACAAACTGCACCAAGTGGAAGATCAAACAGGTTCCTGACAAACCTAGCAGACAACTTTGTCTCACAAAAAGTAGAGAAGAGAATTAGGGAGTTAATCATATTGGACTTAATTTTCACTAACAGAGATGCAATGATAGGAAGATGTTGAACTTAGAGAAATCTTGGTGGGTAGTAATCATGCAATATTGGAATTCAACATTATGCATCCACAAGCAATAGAACAAAATCTTGGACTTTAAGAAAGCTGATTTCAATAAGAGAGAGCTTAGGAAAGATTCCATGGATGAGAATTCTCAAGGGGAAAACAACTCAAGAAGTTTGGGAAATTTTGAAAAGTGAGATTATGGAAGCCCAATCTAGCGCAATTCCAATGAAGAAGAAAAATAACAACTCTCAAAAGAAACCAGCGTGGCTGCACAAAGAATGTTCTGATAAATTGAAAGAAAAAAGGACAGATATAGAAAGTGGAAAGAAGGGCGCATAACCAGTGGTGGGATTCAAAATTTAACACTATCGGTTCTGTGGACGTGGCTTGCTGGGCCTGGACACGTGACTGGGTGGGTGTGGCTTTTTTTTTTTGCTTTTTTGCCACCCCCACTCATTTTTGGGAGCTTCCTAGCCTCAAAGGAGCCTCAGGGGGTGGTCTTTGCTCCCCTAAAGCTCCTCTGGGGCTCTGTGAGGCAAAAAATGGAGGGGGGGGGCCTGAGCTCCTCCCTCCATTTTTTGCCTTCCTGGGACAGCTGATCTATGCACAGCTGATTGTCGCAAGGGAAAAAAAAAATACCTTAGACGGATGTCAGGTGGGCGGGTAAGCGAGCATGGTGACCGGATCGGGGGTGTGGCCAGCCAGAACTTACTACCGGTTCGGTGACCCATGCCAAATTCTTGCTACCAGTTCGCCCGATGCAGTGCGAACCGGCTGAATACCACCACTGCACATAACTAAGGCGGAATATCAGCATATGGCCTGAGTCTGCAAAAAGGAAGTCAGAAAAGCTAAGGCTCAAAATGAACTAAAGCTTATTTTTTACATTTGCGACAAAAGTAAAAAAATAACAAAAACAAAAGCTTATTTCAACGTGTAAAAAAAAGAAAGAGGTCAAGGAAACAATTGGTCCATTAATGGTAGAAAAATGGCAAGAAAGTGAAGAGCAACAGGGAGAAAACAAAACTGTTTAATTAGTATTTTGCATCTGTCTTTACACAAAAGGAAAAAACAGTCCAACCTATCAAAGTTCAAATCACCAGGACTAGATGGATTACACCACAAGATTGTGAAGGAAATGGTAATGTGATGTCAGAATCACTGAACCATCTTTCAAAGATCCTGGAGCACCAGGGAATTACCAGAGGACTGCAAAAGGGCTGATGTAGTTCCCATCTTAAAAAAAAAAAAAAGATCCTGGAAACTACAGACTTATCAGCTGACATCAATACAGGGAAGATTCTGGAAAAGATAATCAAGCAATCAATCAGTGAACACCTAGGGGCAAACAAAGTCATAACCAAAAGCCAACATGAGTTTATCAAAAACAGATCATGCCAGACAAATCATTTTGCATTCTTTGACAAGGTGACAAAATTAGCAGACCAGAGAATGCTGTCAATATAATTTACTTGGACTTCAGAAAGGCATTTGTTAAAGTAGACCAGAAAGGCATTTGTTAAATATCAACCTACTACTTGATATGATAGAAAAATGTGGGTTAGATAGCATTAACACCAGATGAATTCATAACTGGCTGAACGTTACTCAACGTGTAATCCTCAATGGAACTGCATCTACATGGATGGAGTCCTGGTGGACAATCACTTAAATATGGCCAGCAATATGCTGCAGCTACCAAAAAAGCCAATGCAGGCTAGGCTGCAGTAACAGTGGGATAGAATCAAGACCACGTGAAGTGTTAATGCTACTTTATAATGCCTTGGTAAGACCACACTTGGAATATTTTTAAGCTTGATGTCCAAATAGGAACTCTTTGCCAATCAGAAGGGGTGTTGGTCCTACCTGAACGCTTCTTCTCGGGGAGCCGAAGGGAGAATCCAGGATGGGTAGTCTCTAGTCTCATAGCTCTGCAGACCGAGTTGAAAAACTGAGGACAAACCCACTGGTAACAGTCCCCAGTTCTGAAAAAGTGAATCCAGCTGCTTCTCGTCCTCTAACAGATAGCCTATTTGATACTGTGAAAAAATAACATTTCCTTCCTACTCAGACCAGACAGAATACAGGGTGGGACTGGATTCTCCCTTTGGCTCCCCGAGAAGAAGCGTTCAGGTAGGACCAACGCCCCTTCTCCACTGAGCTGAAGGGAGAATCCAGGATGGGACATACCAAAGCTGGCTGATGGCTGTCCTACAGGAGGGAACTAGATTGGTCGGAGGTCCCCACTTCTACCTGAACGTCCTTCAGGACTCATCTTCCAAAGGACACCTCTGCTGAGGCAAAGGAGTCAATTTTATAATGTCTTATGAATGGGGTCACAGATGACCAAGTCGCAGCTCTACAATAGTAGAGAACTGAAGAACCGAAGCCTGCATTACCCAGGCTGCAGTGGTCTCTGCACTCCTGGTTGAGTGTGCAGTGATTCTCCTGGGCACAGGAAGAGCCAGTAACTCATAGGCCTTCGCAATACAGGCTCTAAGCCAGAGACCCACGGTAGATGGTGTCATCCTGTGACCCAAAGTTGATGGCTGAAAGGAAATGAACAGGGCTTCAGTCCTCCTAAAAGAGGACGTTTTGATGTATATATGGAGGGCCCTCATGGGTAGGCCCCGGACAGAAGTCAGGCAAAATCAACCCCTGTAAGCAAGGGAATAAGGAGTTCACCCTGGGCAGAAAGGTAGGGTCCAACCACAGAACCACCCTATCTGCATGGAAAACATACAGGTCCTTTCTGATGAATAAGGCCGTCAACTCCGAGATACACCTGGCCGAAATAATGGCCACTAAGAATGACACATGAGTAGGCGAAGACTGACTCCCCTAGGAAGGCTTTCACCCTGGGGTGTTGAGCCAGAGTGGTTGAGTTATTGACCGAAAAAAACGAGGCCAAGGCAGCCACCTGTCTCTTCAAGGTACTGGAGGCGAGACCTCTGTCCAACCCATCCTCCAGGAACTCTTAACACATTTGCCACAGACACAGCAGTAGGTTCCAATAGGTGACTGGCCCTCTGGGGGCAAAGACCGGTCTATCGGCCTGAAATGAGGATCTTTGGAAGAAGGGGCTACTTTGACGGGGAAAGCTTTCCCCCGCTTTCCCCCTGTTTAAAAGAGGGCTTTCTGTAGTAGAGTCGAAACCTGTAATCAAAACGCCTCCCCTGGGAGGGCAGGATCTTTCGCTTGTCCCTGGTTTCCATCAAAAAAAGGGATCCAGGGCCTTCCCAAAAAGCCTCTCTCCCTTGAAGGGAGCAAATGCCAGCTTCCATTTGTTTCTGGCGTCCATCTGCCAATTTCTTAGCCAGATGAGCCTCCGTGCTGTTACAGATGAGGCCATGGCTCTGGAAGAAGTTTTGGGTGGCATTAGCTGTTGATTGAGCTGTGAATATTATCTTATTTAAGTCTTGATGCACCTGGGGTCCTCAGGTGGGATTCTACCCTGCAGCTGCCGCAGCCACCCATTAAATAAGGTAGACTCAGACCCATTGGGGTGAGTGTACCCTCCAGGGGACTCCCACTGCTTTTTGATCACATTCATAAGCGTCTGGGGCACAGATACAGCGTCCACCACAGATGCTTTCTCAGTGAATAGGTAATCTTCCTGATCCTCCCCCTCTTGGGGAAGATCCCAGGTGACCTTGTCCCTTTTTTAAGATGAACCGTGCTCTTAGCCTTAACCAGCAGAGTCTTGGAGAAAGCCAGTTGGAAAAGGAGGGGGGATCTGTTACCTCCGACTCCCCTTCCGAAAAGCCTTCTCTGGAAGGAGGTCCCTCTCGGAAACATAAGACTGGCTTCTTTCCAAAGGGGATGCAGAACTATTTCTGAAGTAAATCAGCTGTTCTGCAGAAGCCTGCCACTGCGGAACGCCTCTGTTGGTATCCAAACCAGGCAGCTGGCGCAGCTGGTTGACTTAAGCCTGAAATTCTTGTCTAATTGTTTGGGAGATCCAGGCTCTCATGAAGGATGGCATCTCT